GGTAGCTATTGTTATTTTGCCCAAGCAGCAGACAAGTCCTGGCCTAAATATTACCAGGATAAAGATGCATCTAACCATATTTTATATGACATGTCAAACTTGAATGTACGAGACTCAGTAAAAAATACCAGATAATGCCACATCTATCTGACCTGGCATTACCGGCTTACATTTCATGATCAGACCCAGAAATAAAACTATGAGATCTGTTACAGGCTTACTCAATAGCAGACAAAGAACAAAAGAAACTATGAGCAACTAAATTTAAAATGAAAAATAAAATTGTGAGAGCAGCCTCACTTGTTTTTTTTCCAAATCCCTTGGTCCAATTTCAATCCTTAGAGGAACACCTTTCATTTCCCAATGTGAATACTTCCAACCTGGACCATAGTTGTCTCTTAAATCTGCCTCAACACGAAATCCTGCTTCGGTCAAGGTATCCACAGTTCTCAAGCAAGCTTCAAACATTTCTTTTGTATTAGTATCCTTGTAAGGCACTGGAACCACAATAACCTGGGTAGCTGCCACTTTAGGTGGCAATACCAAGCCTTTGTCATCTCCGTGAACCATCACCATCACTCCAATCTGAACATAATAATAATAACAATTGATAAGATCACTAACGAAAAAACAGCAAAGTTATCGGTGAAAGAAAGAATTGCATTTTGGTGGTGGGAATCTAGGCAATTCAGCAGATGATGGAATGACATTATAAGTGATGCATGACAAGAATATTACAGATTTTCTTATAAAATGTAAACCAAGTTTTATATAGCATCAACTAAGTCCAGTAATGTAGATTGAATCTAAACAGAAAATAGATGGCCAATTACAGAAACCTTACACTATACCCAGTAAAATACAATGGAGTAATCTAACTTCCATGCTAGACTAGACAAATTTTCTATACTCCATGGACCTCCATCAAAACTTGCCCATAGTTCATTCATCCTTTATTCTTCAATAGATGCTAATAGTGTGGCATTCGGATTTCACATTGAAGCACCAAAACTAAACAAATTGTGAAACAACTTCATATGGAACTGTCACAAAGGCAATTACACCATGCTACACAGACATGAAATTGTCCGTAAACTAAATTTTATGCCTGAGCACATATATATATATATATATATATATATATATATATATA